AACTGACACACTGTCTCAAAATTAGCAATTATTTGTGGCAACTGAAATAATTTATTATTGTGATCCTGTGGATGCACCTAAAATGTGGTGTTTAATATAGGGCCCAAATAACGAAACTTTTTAAAAATTGCCGGATAAAGATTAAAAAAAAAAAAATGTTTGTTTGATCGATGGCATACAGGAGTCCTCTAAGCAAACTACTTTATCGTGTTCACTTTCGTCTGACCGCGCTTTTAAAAAACAAAAATTCTCACTAATTTTTGCTAATGAAATTACATGTGTACGCACGTAGCTTTGTATGGCAATTCTGCAGGCCAGCGACCAAGCAAAATTTATCTTTTTTATTGCAAAAAACTTGACTCGGTAATTTTAAAAAAGTTTCTTTTTTGTGGGCACTGTGTTCAACACTGCCCTTTGGATGCTGCAGGATCACAAAAATAAATGTTTTCCAGTAATATTGCCTACAAATTAAATTCTTTTTGGGACAGCGACACTACCTTGCCCGCACATTTCAGTGTAAGCTTGAAAGATTTCCTCCCGAGACCGTCTAGACATCTCTGCATGAGTCTCAAAAAGTCTGTTGAGCCGTGAATCCAAGGCGTGCATTTAAGAGCGGCATTGATGATAATATGTCAACTTTTTATAAGTTTTAGTTATATTTATATACAGTAAATCCCCTATTATTTTTTTTACCGACTTTGGGTTAACATCAAAGAAAACGTGTCGCGTTCCTATTTTTTTTGGTTGGCAATGGATCCTGTTGCAGACAGACGTAAGGGAACAAGTTACTATTATAACAGCCGTCTTGCCTGCTTCTGTGAGATTTGTATAAAAAGCAGATTTTGTTATTAAGTTACGGGAAATTCCCAAACATTTACAGCGATGCCAAATTCTTTTTAAATCAGGCGTGGTAGTTTTCCTTACATTTTATTGACTGCCTTCAGTTTTTGCTGGACTTCCAACATGCAGCGTTCGGCCAAAAACGCTCAAGGTTCGTTGCTTTCACTAAAGAAACTTGAAAGCCGACTGACGTCGATTCATGCAAGTCAGACTTTTCTCTTTCATCCATGTGTCCGCGTCGTTTAAAGGATTGATCAGTTTTTGAAAACCCCCCCC